CAGGGAGGATGTTAGGAGGTTATACCCGCGTTATACCCCCTGTAACCTCCCTGTAACCTATCTGTACCTTCGAGTAAGTTTCGCGCTTCTGTTTTCATATATAGGTAGGTTACAGGGAGGTTACAGGGTGTATAACGCGGTTATAACCTCCTGAAATCCTCCCTGTAACCTGTTTGCAGGTTACAGACGTACGCAGCTCTGCGTACGTCTTATGTACGCAAATTTTCCCCCACTCTTACGCAAGTAAAAATATTAGCTAACCACACTACAAAAACAACAACAGTCATCCCATTTAGACCTAAAGTGTTATCTTCATGCATCTTAAAAATTAACTCAGCTTCACTATATCAATCCAAAGTATAGTTCATGACAATGTTCAATTTGCTTTTCAAAGAACCATTTCATCCATAGAACTCTCGTTTATTATTATTTTTTCATTAGAATTTTTCATTTTTCTCAATGTCTTCATCTCATCTTAATAAAAAACTACTCTACAAATCAGCAAATATGTAGATTTGATTTCTTATCCTCTTTTGTATAATTCTAGTTTTCTTTAGATTAATTAATTGTATTCATATCTTAGTTCCTTTTAATTTGCTAAAAATCACATTTCAATTCCATAGTAATAGTCTCCGAAACCAAGAATTCCTACATATATATGGTGTATTTCTAGAAACTCCATCATTGTCTACGGAAGCTTCTTAATGAACAAAGCCATTGTACTACCATCAAGTTTGTTCAATTTCAGTTTCTGCTTTTAACAACCTAACTTTAAAAATTAATAACTTCTCATCATTTTAATTCAATTTTCCTTCCTAAGAAAATTATTTATTTTTTATCACTTATTTAATCTTATAAGTCATACATCCCTAACTATACATTGACATGGAGGTCAAACTCTCCCCTATAATCAATTGGGCATGTGTCTAACTCTAAATTCTACTACAAGTACCTGTGAAAGTCTTCCAGCATCCAAAGCCTGTCGAAATCTTGACTGCAAGATATCAGCCACTGCTTTAACTTCCTTTTCAGGCACTGCAAAGCATATAGAATGCTCACTGCTAGCCTGCACAGAGCTTAATTAGAATTTAAAATAAAAAAGAGAAATATTAAAATAGGAAAGCAGGGCATCAATGTACCTGAGAAATCATAATGACATTAGCCCCGACATCTTTTACGGCACCAAAAATAGCACTAGCTGTACCAGGAACACCAGCCATTCCAGTTCTACAAAATAATTTCAGGTGAATGAGTCACACACATGACTGATATTTATCACATGCATGTACACAAATGTCGACATACATAATATCTATCTATCTATCTATCTATCTATATATCTATATATCTATATATATATATATAT